TGCCCGACTCTCCCAGCAACGCGACGATCTCGCCCGGAGCGAGGTCGAGGTCGATGTTCGAGAAGAACATCCACACCCACCCACACCCCACACCCACACCCGACTCACGTTTTTCACATACCACACACGACACATTTACCTCGATCTCTTGCAGTTTACCATGGTTGTAAGTATTGTCTGTTTCAGAAGAAAACTCTTTTTCCCCTATCATCAAGATTACAAATGTATTAATTAGATACGATCATTTTTATTTTTCATTATCATCAAGACTTGTCTCTGCTCAAAATGAAGATGCTATACAATCCATTTTTTCAGATTTAAAGATGACATCTTGGCTTGTACTTCCATCACCACCAACAGGCAATAATCGTCAAGTCGAACTTGCCGGTACCGATCTATGGATTACAGGACGTATCAATAATGTATTCGTCTATCCATCGGCTTTGGATATCGATAAATTCAAGGAAGCACTTAGTCGTACTCTCTCCTTGTGGCCTTTTATCGCTGGTCGTTTTTTCGTACTCGACGATGAACATTATATAACTGAAATGTCCGATAATGGCCTTCCAGTCTCTTTGATCGAAAATACTGATCTTACACGATGGTCTCTTGATTTAAATGTTGTAATTGACAAGAATTCAAATCAACTTCAACCATTTTTGGATGAAATACAAACTACAAAATTGATAGGTGGTTCTCGGGATGAACCACTTTTCCGTTTGAAACTCACTCATCGTGTACAAAGTGGAGAATGGATAATGGGTGCAAGTTGGTCACATATGTTAGGAGATGCTGATGCTTTTTTACATTTTTTAAATACAATTTCATGTTTATATCAACAAATGAAACCACCTGAACCGATGCCTGTCTTCGAAAGGTGTTTGTGGTTAAACGACAAAGTCGATGAAACTCTTTTACCTGATATAAAACAATTCTTCGATGGTGAACAAATAGAAACAAATGGTATAAACGATCAAGTAACATATGATCAGCTCAACATTTGTTTCACTGGACAACAGCTCATCAAATTACGTACATTGATCGATGATCAAAAATGTGACTATTCAAGATGTCCTGAGTGCTTATATTATTCTTACACTTAACACTCATTGTACACAAAATGATGACCAACTAATTGTACATGCAAATATAATGATCAATTATCGTAATGTATCCGATTCGGTTGCACCACCTGGTCTTGTAGCAAATGCTGTCTTGATGCCATTATCCGATCGTTTTGAAGATCCAAAATCTCTATCAAGTATTGCCAAAACTATTCGCCATTCAATTAAGCAATCGCGCAATGTCGAATTTATTGAACGTTGGGTTGCTACTGCTGATAAAGTAATAAGAACAATAGTGCATGAGAAACGACTTCCTAAAATGTCAACTTTTAATGATCAAATTGTGGTTAATTCTAATTGGCGCTATGATTGGGTAAGTCTTGTTGATTTTGGTTATTCGGACAAATGTCGATTTTATACAACATGGACTCGTGCATTGTATCTTCGTACATTTCGTCTCAATCCAGTATATGATGGCACTCAATGGCTGGAAAGAGATCGACAGGGAGCTGAAGTAGCCTTTCGTATTGAAAAAGACAAGAAGGAAAAATTTATCGATGCATGGCAGAAAGACATTCGCGAGAATTTTATTAATGCAAAGGTGTAAAATAAATTATACATTTTATAATAGGAAATGGTTTGAGAGTGAGGGTGAGTATGTAGATACAAGAGACACACAAATGCAAAAAGACAGGGGTGTGGGTGTGAATGTGGGTGTCGATCTTGATCTTCTCTTCACCCACATCCACACTATGACAAAAAAGACCAAACTTCGATTTTCTATGAACAAATTTTAACCTAATTTAATCAAATCTGACGGTGAGACTGGAACTACGAGAGAACAAATTACTGGAGATCAAGATAAAAAGGTCGGCTTCTCACATGTTTATCACGTTAAAGAGTATTTACTATTCATGACTCATACGATATACGTTTCTGTTAACTTTTTTTTATTGCATCATTTTTCTGTAATCATACAACAAATTCTTTTTATCAGTGTAATTTTGCTTTATTCTGTATACACCGAAAGAGAATGACGTCTTATATGCATTTTTGTTTTTTATAAGATAAGAATTTTTCAATTCATTTTGCTATGGAAAAAACAAAAAGATCACGGACTAGTAGTCTTCATAATTCTAACAATATTAAAAGAAGAAAAATAAAAGGTAAAAGTTCTTTTGGAATATTAGCCTTATCATATCGATATTTTTTAGTAAAAACAGTTGAAACAGATGAGTTCGATGATAGAATTTATTTGAATTTATCAAAAGAATCTGTTACTCATTTTGAAGATTTATCGAATGAAATTATCTATGAAATATTTGAATATCTTGATTATTTGCATGTTTATCAATCTTTTTTCGATCTTAATATACGATTTCGAAAAATTTTTACTAATTCAAATTTTCCTATCAAAATTAATATATCATCCATATCAAAATCGATTTTTCAACGTTATTATACACATATAATTATTCCTTATCAACATCGTATTATTTCACTTTCTATAGTAAATTTCCTTAGTTTTGATCTTGATATTTCACCACATCGTATTCTATCAACATTTACTCGATTGAAAACACTCATTCTTGTAAAAATTAACTCCGAATATCTTGAAAATATTCTCGAAGACATTGCTTCTTTACCTAATCTTTCGTCATTAACTATCATTCCTATTGATTACGTTAAAAATGCCAACGATCTTCTTCTTCAAATATTTCGTTTATCCGTATTAAAATATTGCAAAATATCATTCAAAAATGAACATACCAACTTTGATCTATTGCCTTTCGCTACGAATGAATACAGCAGTCCAACTGAACAATTTGTTATTAAACATCAGATTGATGTTAATAATCTTGATAGATTATTATCATATGTTCCACAACTTCGTCGTTTATCGCTTGATCGTCTTGGTGGATATTACAAAAATCGATTAAATCATCCCATTGCATTGAATTATTTGACACATTTGTTTCTCAAATTAATTCATTTTACTTTTAATGATTTTGAACTATTGATTAAAAATTTATTTTGTACAATTCAAGTCTTACATCTTTATATAGAAGATGGTGAAGAATATTTAAATGCTGAACGATGGAAACAATTAATATTATCTTATATACCAAATTTACGTATCTTTGATATTCAGTGTATTTATTCTTTTGTTATTAATAAGAATGCTCAGCTGAGATTTGATTTTCTATTCGATCAATTCACTTTGCCATTTTGGTTCGAACGACAATGGTTCTTTGCTCGTCGAGATTATTTTAAATATGGTTATCACAATAGCATCTTCTATTCCACAAATCCTTATAGGTATGAATAGATCATTTTGTTTAATACAAAAAATATTTATCTAATTGTTTTTTTTTTCAGGCGAAAAGATTACAAATTAGTCAGGAAATTGAATCAATATACTCGTTTAGAAAATCAAGAAACAAATCTAAGTTCAGTTCGTCATGTTCATATTTCAGATGACGAAGCAATCATTAATTGTATTAATCATTTTCTTAATGTTACTGATCTTACTCTCAAGAATATTTCTGCTCGAAGATCAGATTCGTTTATAATTAATCTTAAACATATTATTTCTTTGAAAAATTTAACTAAACTAATCATTGAAGATGACGATTATTCATTTGAAAGATTGATTGAATTATTATCATTAACACCAAATATCCATATATTGAAAATTCAATCCATAATACTGAACCGAAAAGATCTTTTAACAATTCAGAATAGTGAAAATTTTCGATTAGTAATGAATGGAAATACAATTAGAAGTTTAACAGTTAAACAAATATGTGAAATAGAAAAAATCGAACTACTTTTTATACTGTGTTCTCGATTGCAACATTTCACGATCGAAGAACCTTGGACACGTGTTGACGAATTAGTACGATTACTGCTCTCAAAAAACAATAACAATACTCGTCATCTATTTTCATTATCTATTTCAAATGAAAATAAAAGATTACCGAATAAATTAAACACTTTAATTCAAGCAGGAAAATTGTTGGATAATTATTTTATTAAATCTGATTATCCTAAAATCTACTTATGGTGGTAATTTTCCATGGATAGTGACTCATATATATAAATAAATCTACATTGATTCAGTTCGCGTTACTCTTGTTTTGTCATCATAGCTCGTTATAAACATACCGAGTTCTATTCTCTCAGTTTTAAATAAAATCGGAGTTTTACAAATCATTACAAATGATCTCACTTATTTCACATTCGAATAATCTCAAATAGTCTTTATGACAGATAAGAAATCTTAAACATAGGGTAGTTTATTTCTTAGATTTAAAAATGATTAATCTTTAAAAGTGCTGCAGTAATCCAAGTAGATTCATTAGTTTTTCAATGTACTTTGAATATGTAATGATATTAATTGCCAAATATCGTTCTTATATTTTGACAGTAGGAATTGTAAGGCCGGTGTGAACCCCTATTGTAACACTTTGATCGTGAGATGTTGTAACAGAGAACGACGCTTTATCTATAATTTAACTTTTTCCAAAGTGCACTAGTAATATAGAGTCAAATACTAATTTACAACAATTCGATATAAAACGTAATATTTTGACCGTCGCAACAAAATAAAAACGGTCACAATTCATGATTATTGTATTGAGTTTTTTTTCTAAAGAAAGAATACGATTGAGCATGGTTGTAATCGAGCCATGAGGCAATAATCATCATCAGAAATGGTGAATTCATTAGCATTCTAGAAATAGATTGAATAATTATCCATTATTGATCAAGAAAATCATTTGATGTAATATTTTCGAGAATAAGTATTTTAAGTCCAATGAACTCTTGAATATTCTTATGAGATGAACAGATGAGTTTGACTATGAATGGATTCCATAAATGAAGAAAACTAATTCAATTGATATTATGCATGATCAATTGTGTATAGGAATATTGAAAAGCTGATTGAAATAAAGATGACATATTGATTTTGATTGGAAGAGTGAAACGATGAAGAAAATTTTCAAATCGTAGATTAGGAATAGAAAAAGCTTCAAATACTTGATATATATCGAGAAAACCGAATATTTCATTGGAAAGATCTTCAAAATGAATGAAAGCTGATCTTGATTAAATGAGAAACAAAACTTAGGTCATAAAACAAAATAATTATACATTACTAACCTCTTCCCTATCAACTGTCGTTACTAGGGCAAGTAAAATGATGAATATAAAACTCCAAGATCAAACTGTAACTTTTTTCTTCTCACCATCATTATAATGATTAGCTGTAGTTGTTGCTTTCTTCGATTCATACTGACGTAGTTTAAAATTAGTCAAATGATTTAAAATATGAACGTCTTGGTTGCTTCTGACCAAAGCTCTCTTGATTTTGACTCATAACACTGCCTACGAATTCTTTTGAGAGACGAAACTCTGTAAAAAAAACGTTTTTCAGTTTCTGCTCGTCGTCGGATAGTCTCATCCATGAAGGATGTCTCAAAATA